CAAACCTATACCCCTAAACACTAATTCTGCTCCCTTTTCCCACCCCTATATGTGATGTTGCCACTAAATTCTTCCCATGCCTTCAAAGCATTCCTCCACAGTGCGCACACAGAAAGGGAGTATGATATTTTTTGTCCTCCGATCCCCTTCTACAATCCCATATTTTTTTACTATCACCTCCCACCATAGAGCATGCTCCTCTATCTCGAATTTTACATAATCATTTCCTTAATAGGGCGTTGTTAAAAATCCAGGGATCTTTTACCCAAGGTCGCCACAACTCTTTGGGTTTGTTACGGTCTCCCAACAAACCAAGTGGAACTTTCTAGTGCCATTTGCCGAGTCACATAGGAAGTTTTTTTTAAAGTTTTTCCAGTTCACCTGTAACACATGCAGGTGCTTATAAAAAGTGCACAAAGTATGTGGGAGTGCTCGATAATGTGCTCCTGATTATTACTTCGTTTCCTCATTATAACAAATATCTCTTTTGCCATCTTGCGAGCCTCTTCTCTGCCCTTTCTATCACCAAATTCCATGTTGCTTGCTCCTTATTGGATGCGCCTAAGGGTAAGCCCGGGAAGGTAATGGGAAGAGCTCCAACCCTGCAATTAAGTCATTGTGATAAATTGTCAATGTTCTCCACTATGTCCACCGGGATGATTTCACACTTCCTAAGGTTCATTTTGAGGCTTGACACCGCCTGAAACCATATTAGTACTTGTTGCAAACAATAGGTATGAGACTCTCACGTGGTGTTGCCCCCTATCCGAGGTCCCTCAACTAACCGTTTGCCACAACTGACGCTTCCATAACCAAAGATAAACATCATAACTGATGTGGGCCCCCCTGTCCCAAGCCTCGCGAACCACCAAAAAATCCACATTGGATTATCATTCACTAATTCCAAGTACTTGATAGTAGAAATGCAAAATTTGATCCATTTCCTCAATCTATCTCCAAATCTCATCTTTATTATGTATGGGCCTACTTATGGCTGAACAAGCCTTGTAGCTGTGAAACAAAAGGTTGGCATTAACTCTTAGAGTTATCACTAATTAATACTTTATCCGTTTCAATTTGGATGATGTAGTTTGATTCTGCACGAAGTTTAAGAAAAAAAAAAGGAAGACTTTTGAAACTTGTGGTCTTAAAAGCTTAAGGGCTAAAAGCTTTGTGGGGTCATGACATTTGTGTGGTTATAAAAGCTTCTCATTAAGGGTAAAATAGGTAAAATGAATAGTTTAAAGTTAAATTATTTTCAAATTTAGAAATGTGTCATTTATTTTGGAACAAGCTAAAAAGGAAAGTACCTCGTCTAATTTGAAACGGAGGGAGTACAATTTATTTGCTTGCTGAATTCACATGAAGAAAGATGTCNTTGCTTGTTTACCTTACAATTCAGATATATATTATCTTTTCCACAATGATATTCTCATGTTGAAAGACTAATCAACAGCATTTGCTGATTCAAGATGCAAAGCTCTATGGGCGTGATCCTGTCTTTGCTGTGATTTGTAAAGCTTCTTTGTTACCTGAGGTGGCGAAGAACCATGATATTCAGAAGAATGAAACTCTTGTACAACTTGGGCAGGTAAAAACATGAATTTATTAGTGGTAGATTTTGAACTTTCTATGTCCAGTGCTTCTTAATAAGAGATATATCTAAAAACTTTCTGAGCCTTTTCCTGGTATTGGTACTGTTAAAATGTCAAGCTAATCTGTTTTGGGTTTTATTTGCCGTTGAATAGGTTAATATTCTGCTTATCAAATTTAACGAGATCTGTCACCTTCAATAACATGTTTTTGTACAGTTATTGATCACTTTTCTTCGAGTTCTTTGTACAAATATTTCCTGGCAAAGGCGTAAACTTGGAAAGATTTTGCAAGATTGGCGTATCATACACGTACAGGTTTGTACAGTATACACTTGTCAAAATGCTGGTTCTCATCCCATTTGTACTTCTCCTTGTGTATTTGTCTCTTTCTCTCTAATCATGATCATTATTCTTCATAAATTTTGTGGCTCCCTACATCTTAGATTCTTGCATGGATATCTGCTCCCCGTTTGGATGGAAAAGGAAGATAAGGAGAATTTGAACTCTTTCTCATGTTCAGTTGGCAGATTAAAATAACTTAAAATTAGTAAATGCAAGCCCTTAAAATGTTTCTTTACTTAGATTTAAGCATGACGATTGGTGCGGAACACAAGTCGAAAATGAAGGGAAATATTTATCTTTATGTTGGTTTACATTAGGGTATGTTTTGCCTAAGGTTGCATTGAATTCCTATGCCTTGTGCTTTGATGCGGGATTCATTAGTTAAGGTGCTAGTGGGAATCAATTTAATTAATATTCACCTCATCCTCCCCAGACCCCACTTGTGGGAAAATACTAGGCTTGTTGTTGTTGTTGTTGTTGTTTTTTGGCTGTTAAGAGTAGATATAGAACTTGGATATTACCCAAATGTTTTATGTTTTGCTTAGATGTTAGAGTAGTACTCATTTTAGTAACCTGGTATTTGTTACAAATTTTAGTAGCTTTGCTTAATGATTTTTAGTAGTTTGTTTAAAGATTTGTAAATCAATAGAAAATGTAGAGAACCTCTAGTTTTAGAGAACCCTAATATGGCTTAAAACACGGTATTTGAGTATTGTATTGAAATGGCCCAAAGGGGCAGATTGGATATTGATGATTCATAGAGCCGACCTCATCTAGTTTTGATTGAGGTGTACTTGTTGCTAAATGATCTTTAGTAATTCGACATGTCATACACGTCGTCTCAAACAAAGTTATATAGCCTTTTGGCTTATCCCCCCCACAAACCCCAAAGAAAAAAAAATACATAAATAAAAAGAACAAAAAGAAGAAATGTAGCTATTCACATAATTGTTAGGCTGCAAACCCTTCTCTCTCTCTATATATATATGTGTGTGTGTGTGTGTGTGTGTGTGTGTGTGTGTGTGTGTGTTCATGATCCTTTTTTTATGTACGTAGCCTTTTCTTTTGTTGTTTAGCATTCGATAGAATCTTTGCATGCTGCTGCAGCTGTCATCTGGAGTATGTTATTTTTTTTGTTGTTATTTGCCTTCCTGGGAACTGAATTGTACATTTGTTTCTTTTTTATTTCCCCTTAGCTGGAACTGGCTTTTAGGAAAGAGTTTGGAGATATCTTAACCACTTCAAGTAACGAGGTGAATATTCTATCTGCAACTATAGTGCACTATTGTTTATAGTTATAGTGCTGCTATAGTGTGTTCACTTGTCGCTATTTTTTCAAAGTGGAGATTTCTGCTGCTTTCTTGCTCTGTCATCTTGTCAGTCAACTTCTTTTCTTATTGAGACTATTCACTCGTTTTCCAACTGTCACAGAATATTTGTATGAAGATATGCAGACACATTCTCATATGGGTTGAGGAGCAAACATACTGGATAGCTTCCCGTTTCCTGATGTTGGGCTTTGAATTAGACTTGTATTCCGCTGGTGAATATTGTATGGTCTACTGGTACATGTATATTATCCTGATCAAGCTTGCGGAGAAAACACATATGCGGACGATGACAAACAATGAAATCAGTAAGAATCCTACCTGTTCCACATCTTTTGTCCCCTAGCTGAAAGTTGCTTGTACAAGGGAACAAACCTTTGGTTAATAGGTTGTTCTTTTTCTGTACCAAGTTCATAGAAGTAAAAATTTAGTTACTGAAGCTTCAAGCTTCTTGTCATTAAAGTAATCTGGCACCAAGAAAGGGAAGTCATGTACAACCATGTCATTGGACTTATCTCCTCTAAAAGTGGATAGATTCTCCAACAAGCAGTGATCGTCATTTACGATTTGCATCCTACACCAAAAACTACAATAAATTAACACTTGTATATTTACCCAAGCAGAGCATTTATGATTTTGAGGATTCATACAGCCGACCCCAACTAGCTTGGCATTAAGGCGTAGTTGTTTTATCATGGTTTTCATGTTTAGGTTTCTTGGTCATGGATTGTTTCTTTTGCTGGCTGGTTGAATAGAGTTAGAATGGTATGTCATTAGATCACCTATCATCAAATATAATGCCAAGAAAATAAAATAAATCAAAGGAAAAAAGGATGGTCATTGGCACCTCATTCTTTTTTACTACGCATGTCACGGTTTGACTTAAAAATTGTGGTCAACCCAAAGTTGTGAAGGCATAAATTTTTTAGTATTGCACCTGCTTGCCACTCCTTTAATAGCCTTGTTACTCGTCCAACAGATATAAAAGAAAAATAGAATTGAAGTTTATTATTATGCTTCTTTTCTTTTTCCGGTGAAACCAGAGAAGGCACACATTATCTTAGTATTTGACTTCTATCAGGTAAAAGGAAAGGGAAGAAGAAAAGAGATTTTGTAAAAGATGGAGGAAAAGATTATCAACTTCCACCTTCAATTTTGTTTCTTCAGTGCCATGTATATCTTGCTGAAGGTCTTACCATGGTAATTCAGTAGTTTTTTTTTTTTTTTTATTTTTTATAATTTTGTTTATGATGCTCTTTCATCTATGTTCACAGCGTGTAAATTTGTTTTCCCATTATAGTTTTAGCGTCTCTTTCATATCTGCACACTGCGTGCGGTGAGCTTTTTAATTAAACTTAACAAAATGATTCTGAATTGCTTGAGAAATTGTTGGTTCCTCCTCTAGATGCTGGCAGCTTTAAGGAATGAACGGCAAANTGACCAATCTTGCAATTTTCCTCAGAGGTTTGTCCAGCACTTTGAGTTGCTTCTAAAAGCTTGCCTGCCCGATCATGTCTCCTATTATTCATTCCAGGAGACGACTGCTCATGCTCGGCTATCGGTAAGTCCCCCTTGGCGTCGTTAACTATGCGTTTCCAAGTTTATCATTTTTTGTTATATATTACTTGCTCTTTCTTTTTGCTTTTTTACTTTTGAGAGGGGTTGAAGGGGGGGTTTCAAGACATGGTTTTCACTCGGCGTGTGACTTGATCTCTATAATTATGCAGAATTTATCTATGTACAACTGCTTCAAAGAAGCTCAGAGAAGTGCAAAGGATCTAAGGAGCAGTTTCTCTAATGATCCAGATAAAATGTCAGAGCTTCGTCGTATAGAACAAGTAGCAGAACATAACAGTGTTGCTCTTGGTCTTATATCCCGGCTAGGAACTCTTGACCCGTCGCTTAAGGTTCAATTCGAGTTCAGCCACCACCCTTTCTTTGCTACCGCAGTAGTGAAGAGATCTTGAAGATGAAGTTTTTCTTTGATCTCCAAATTTTGCCATCCACTCTTGTGAAGAAGAGATCTTGAAGATGATCTGTTCTTGATCTCCAGTTTTGAAGTATTGTTAGGTCTCATTGGATAATGTAACATATTTCGTCGAATTTTTTTATATTACCATATTTTTCCTTTTCATTTTATTTATTTGTTGTTACTAATGATGTAATTTGTAATTTGGGAAGGAATAGTCAATATTTATTGTATAATATAGCATCAAGTATGAGGATTTTGCAAGATTAGTTACTGATTTTTTAAAGATAAAATGAAACCCTTATTTTGAAATAGCAGTAGTTTATCTCGATTAGTGCATTCGATACTTGCCACTTCTTACTAGTACAAGTGTTGGGTACTTTGCCCACCAAAAGCTTAGGCAGAAAGAAAACCCTATCACTATTATTCTAGAGTTGGACATGCAGCCCCAACTTTAGAAAATAACGTAAACTAACCAGCACCAAACCTAAGGACAAACTAGCTAAGGATAAAGCTAAGGATAAAAGTTTAAGTTCTGTAGTTTCATGGTAAGTTGGGTCTCATATTCCCTTGACAATGGAGCTCTTGGATTATTAGTCTGACCATGTCCTCACTTCTCCCCTTTTGGTTGCGAAAGGTTCTCTAATTTCTCTCCTGCCATATGTGATAGACGGTACATGTTAAGAGCATTCTATCTGACTGCCCGCCCGATGCAAACTTTGTAGCCCGTTTGATCTCCTCATCCCATCCTTTGGCATCCCTGTTAATTCCAGCCTAGTATAGTAGTTTCCTCCATTAAGCCGTTGAGTAGTTGCACTTGAAAAACAGGTGTTCATGATCCTCTACTTCTCCTTCACGTAAGGAGCAAACTAGATTGGTTAGTATACCCCACTTGATAAACCTATCTCTGGTTTATAACCTACCATGTATGGCTATGTACCCGATAAAGATCCATTTAAGGCTACTGTTATTATTGCATAACAGTTTCCTTCATGCAACCTTTGGAAAGTCTCCCCTAAGCTTGTTGTATGTCTCTGATGGAGTAACTTCTTGCCGTCAGCACCTCCTCCACTCCAACATTCGCTTCAGTTAGGTACTTAGCAGCACCTAGAATCTTTTGAGTTAGCCATGATGCTTGCTTAGCATTGACAGTCCATACTACACCTTGCTTTATATAGTATGGGTACATCCGCTGTATCCATAAATGATCCTTCTTCTTACACAGATTTCAGAGGTGCTTAAGAATTGCTGCTCTATTCCATGCGAGGATATTAGTGATGTTCATTCCCCTGCAAACTTAGGCCAGCATAGTTGTTTCCAGACCACCAGTGCCTTCCTATTGCTTTCAGCTTCCCCTGTCCATAAGAACCTCTTGCAGATAGTTTCAATCTTCAGTATAATCTTTTTTGGCAATGGAAATATCTGCGACCAAAAGGACTGGATGTCAATCATAACACTTTTGATCAATTACAATTTTTCTGCATAAGACAGGAATTTTGCTGTCCAATAGTTTACCTTTGCAAGCATCTTGTCTAGCAGGGGTTGATATTGAGCCATTAATAATCTTTTTGCACTTAGTGGCACTCCAAAGTATCTGAAAGGTAAAGATCCCATGGAGAAGCCCAGGTTATGCATAATTTGTTATTGTATGTCCATTGGAACCCCTCCAAAATATATACAGCTTTTGTCTTGGTTTGCTATCAATCCCGATGAGGTGGAAAACTGTTGAAAGCATTCATATGGTATATGAGTGGACACTACATCACCTCTACAAAATAAGAGCAAAATCATCTGCGAAATTCAGTTGTACTATGTTCAGCTTTTGATCACATCTGGGATGATAGTTGAAGTCCGGTTTATCCTTCAAAGTTTTCAATAGTCTTGTCAGATATTCCATAGCCAGGACAAAGAGATATGGGGACAAAGAGTTCCCTTGTCTGACTCCTCGTTTAAAATCAAAATGTGCTGCTGGTCTGCCATTTATCACAATGGAATAAGACACTGTGGTGACACATGTCATAATCCACCTAAGAAATCGTTCTGGACATTCATTGTTGTGAGGACCTGTTCAAGAAACACCCATTCTAGGGAATCATATGCCTTTTGTATGTCTATTTTGATCATGTTAGCTTCAAGGTTTCATGTATTAATTTTGATGATAACAAACCAACATAATTATTAATCAAAGAACATTTACTTGTGGTAATCTTATTCTTGCATAAGTTTGTTCAAGGGAAAAGAAGTTAGTAAAGATCCAAACAAATACGGGAAAAAGAATATCATGAGCAAAAATAGATTCAAGGAAGATTATTTTCAGATATTTAATCTCCAAGCACCGTAGAAGGAATAATATTTGAAAGTAAAATTTTAAATATTAAATGGTTTACTACAATATCAGAAGAAGACTGCGAAAATTATGGAAGGAAAGTTCTTCAATATCTTGAAAGGAGGGTTGTTAAAATCCTAGAGAAGATCTGTTATTTTGTGGAAGGAAGATACTATATGGATGTCACGACCCCAAATTTCCACATTAGGATGTCATGATAGCACCTAGTCTCTAAGATTAGGTAAGCCTAACAATCATTGAGAATTTAGCAGAAGTAACGACTAAACTATTAAATTAAACTGATAATTAACACAATAAAACCAAAATGGAACAATAGTCATACTAATTTCAAAACCGGTGGAACTGAGTCATAAGCTCTACTGAAATATACTAAGAATATCTAATACAACACTGTTTGATAAGAAGGTAAACAATACTAAATGCAATAACAGAAGGTGACTCTGAGGCCTGCGAGCGTAATGACAGGTATACCTTGAAGTATGACGAGTGTCTAGCGTATATAAAATTATAACTCGTACTCTGTCAAATAATAATATAGAAATATGTCGAACCCACAAAGATTGGTTTATCTATTTTACAGATATTTCTTGTTTTAATTTCTATTTGAGAAAATCAGAAAGAGTTGAGTTGTGAATTAACTAACTAAAAATGCACGAATAGAGCAATAGAAAATATTTTGTTTTTCAAAAATATAATAAAAAGGGGTTGGGATCCTAATTTCACTTAATATTTCTATTATATAGTAGAGTTATTATTCTTCAATTTCTATTTCTCAAAAATGTATAAATGCCTCTCACGATTACAAATATATATATATTATTACTCAAGTTGAATAATTAATTGCACTCCTCTCGGTTATACAAATTAATCTTCAAAATAGTAATACCAAAGAACCAGAAATATATGATTGAACTAAAACATGCTCTTGTTAGTAAGTCCCTTTCGGTTACCCTACTTGTTATAAGTGATTATTACACTATTCGCCTCTCTCGATTACAAATAAGTGTAAAATTAGTTATAACATAAAAGAGATAGATGTTACTGAATAAATATTAAAACCTATCAATACTATAATTAACTATATTATTTCTTCTGCCTCTCTCGTTTATAAAATTAATAAACAGTTAATATGTAGTACAAGATAGATAAATGTTAATAAATCAAATAACGTCTAACTGTAAAAGCAAATAAAATTTAAATAAAAAGTTTTAGCTCAAGCATGTGAATTTGAGGAATAATATCTACTATTATATAGAAATATTAAGATCCGTTTTTCTCTCAACACAAGAAAAGTTACTCCATACTGGAATTAGTACTAACAATGGAAATATTCTTGTCCATTAAATAAAAAAATAGAAAAAAATATTTAAGAATAATAATTTTTCCTATTTAATTAAAAGCAGGAACTAAAGTAATTTCCTATACTGAAATTTATTTAGAAACAATAACTAAACCACTATTATGATTTGAAAGAAAAGATAACTGGACACTAGTGAAAGAAATAAAACAGAGAAGCTTATTAATAATTTGTATTTAGACTTCTAGCTCTAAGCTTTCTTCCCACTCCGATACCCTCTTCTGATCGGGCAACATCTTCTTCTTATATAAGAAAAATTCATGATGACTTCTCGATTTGGTGCTAGATTTTCATGACAAATCTAGATTTTCCATTTGCAAAGATGAGAATTTGACTTCTCGATTTGGTTCTAGATTTCCATGGCAAATCTAGATTTTAAATTTGCAGAGATGAGAATTCTGTCATTCTAAGTTTAGATTTCGTCGATTTCATCATGAAAAATCGAGACTCGATGCATTATCACGGCAATAATGAATCATAGCTCGATCTTACACTTCTTTGTTGTATTTTTCTTGAATATTTATTTTTCTTTTTTCATGTTGCGCACAACAATTCTTCTATAATTATTCCTGCAAAATAAAGTTAAGAATATGGAAGAAACATGATAATTTATATATTTTTATGAGAGAAATTATGTGGTTAACATCTGGTAAAATGCTAAAATTCTCCCATACTTAAACTTTTACTCGTCCTCGAGCAAAGAAAATAAATGAACATAGTAACTAAATACTTTTAGTGAAATCATGAGAAGTTTTGACAGAGAAGAATTTACTAAGACCAATCTACGCGTTCAAACAACTTTCAACTGTACTCATGTTCACCTATTGAGAACTGAAATCATAATATTTTCTAATCCCAAGTGTGTCTCACCAAATGAAGAGAGATGCCCATATATCACACAATATATAGATGTAGAAGGGCATAGATAAAAAAAATCACTCACTCTTAACAAAGAAGTACCTCAAGCTACTGGAAATTGCCATAAGCTTGACTATCATGTGGTTCTTCACTAATGTAGGAGTCTTTGAGTTGAGATCATGTAGGACATTTGCAAGGTTGTAATGTAGGCTTAGGGATAAGTATGATACATATGGATAATAGTGACTCAAATTCCCTATGGGCACTACACTTTATTTTATCGCTTAAGCAAAATTGCCTTTGCTCTTATTTAAACAATAACCTCTATTTTGTTTCATGCCTTTCACAAATTTTCTTGTTCTTTTTTTAATGGAGATGCCAACATTTCTTTGTTGCTAACTCTTTTTTTAAGCCTTTTTTTAGAATTTCAGAAGCAACTATCTTTTTCAGTTCTCATGGCAACATATCAAAAGATCGACAACCTCAAACAATTATTCTTTCACCAATTATTTTCACAATTACACTTCACGCCTATATTTTTACATTCAGATCAACTCTTAAAGTGCCCAAAAGAGAATTGGGTGAATAAAGAACAAGTCATAACAACAAACATGCTAAGGGTTAAAGCTTGGCGACGAAGAAAATAAGAGATAATTTATTTAGGCTCAACTGGGCTAACTAGGGATAAAAATCATTAAGGTAGGTCA